AGATGGCCAAAGTACTGGAGCCTCAGCTTCAGGATCTGTCCTTCCAGTGAGCACTCAGGGTTGATTTCCTTTAGAATTGATAGGTTTGTTCACCTTGCAGTCCAGGGGATTCTCAAGAGCTTCCTCCAGCACCACAATTCAAAGGCATCAATTCTTCGGTGCTCTGCTTTCTTTATGGTCCAGCTCTCACTTCCATACATCATGACAGGAAAAACCATAGCTTTGACTATTTGGACTTTTGTTGGCAAGGTGATGTCTCTGCTTTTTAAGATGCTGTCAAGATTTGTCATCGCTTTCCTCTCAAGAAGCAGGAGTCTTTTAATTTCGTGGCTGCTGTCTCCATCTACAGTAATCATGGAACCCAAGAAGGTAAAATCTGTCACTGCCTCCGTATCTTCCCCTTCTATTTCCCGAGAGGTGATGGGATCAGTGGCCATGATCTTAGTTTTTTTGATGTTGAATTTCAGACCGTTTTTTGCACTCTCCTCTTTCACCCTCATTACAAGGTTCTTTAATTCCTCCTCACTTTCTGCCATCAGAGTGGTATCTCTGCATATCGGAGGTTGTAGATATTTCTTCTGGCAATCTTAATTCCAGTTTGGGATTCCTCCAGTCTAGCCTTCCGCATGATGTATTCTGCATATAAGTTAAATAAGCTGGGGGACAATATACAGCCTTGTCGTACTCCTTTCCCAATGTTGAACCAAATCAGTTGTTCCATATCCAGTTCTAACTGTTGCTTCATGTCCCACATATAGGTTTCTAATCATGTTTATTTGTGAGTATTTATTACATTTGTTCTGGGGGAAAGCAACAGACAAATAAACTCTTGATTAGCATAGGAATGGCATTTAGACATCTTTTTTGTATTTGTTTTTTTATCAGTGGGATTGAGCCCTAAGTTTAAATAGCAAAAGACTAACAAACACCTTTTAAGGCTTGAAAGAAGTGCTGGGAAAATGCATGTACAGTGGTGCCTCACATAGCGAGGTTAATCTGTTCTGGATTAACCTTCGCTATGGCGAAACATCGCTGAACGGAACGGGGAAAGCCATTGGAATGCATTAAACTTAGTTTAATGCGTTCCAATAGGCTCCAAAACTCACCGTTCAGCGAAGTTGTCCCATAGCCGGCAGCCATTTTTGTGCCCTCGGTAAGCGAGGGGAGCGCGCGAAAACGCTGCGTGCGGCCATGTCAGGGCTTCCAACGGCCATTTTGGAACCGCCGAACAGCTGATCGTCGGGCATCGCTTTGCGAAACGCTTACCGATCATCGTAAAGCGAGTTTTGCCCATAGGGACCATCGGTATGCGATCGCATTTGCGATCGCTAAAACCTCTTCGCTATGCGATTTCGTCGTTCTACGGTGCACTCGTTAAGCGAGGCACCACTGTATTAGAGATAATTGAAGTTCTTCTTCGTGGCCTCTGTGAATCACACCCTCAGTGATCTGTGCCTGCCCGGAGCCTTGTCGGAAGATCTAGAGCTTCTGCGGTAACAAAAAATACATTAGAATAGACCCTTCCTCCTCTGTATACCTTGGCACCAAGACTCCCTTCAGTTTCTTTCAACCGCTGCGTTGAAGAACCTCATACTTCTAGCTTCTGTGAGTTAAAAGTGAGAGTTTTTTTACTCTTGACTTCTAAATATTTTCCTTTCTTTTTGTTACTGATATGAAAAAATATAATATGAACTGTTCTCTTGCTTTTTTTCCATGTGCCTCGGCCTCTGGCCCTTGCACTCTCCCCTCCGTTTTGTGTTTCCTTTCTTTAATCGTTCATGGTCCCTTTGGGCCTGTTTAAGCACTGTGGTTTGCGATAACAAAATACCACTTTCGGACGGCCACTTAAAGTGCCTTTTTTGTCTAGGCAAGGCACATTAAACCTCCTTGTGTTCTCATTGTAAAAATTTCAAGTGGGGAGTCCTTCATTCTTGTCTTTCCAGACTTAAACTCCATATTTGGGAACAGTCTTTACAACCTGTAGAAGTCATGGCTCAACCTCCGTGTAAGACTACTTCACAAGCTAAAAAGCCATGGAGGAAGCCATCAGAGAATCATCTAAACATCGCCTTCGGCCACACCATCTCACTCTGATGCCCCTTCAACTTCGTCGAAAACCTCTAAGGGACACAAACCCAAGAGTTCAACATCAAAAACTTTGATATCAAAGTCCTCCAAAAAGTGAAAGCTGTCTCCCGAGGTCTTCTCAGTTCCAGATCCTCCTCAACCCAAGAGGTCTAAACAAACCAAAACTAAAGCTTCTGTTACCGTTCTGCAGCAGCTTTCCGAATTTCGTGATTTGATTTGTGTAGGCTCGTCTTCTGTTGACGAAGGGATTCCAGCTCACCAGCTGACTTCTCAGTTGCCGGAATGGGACAAGCAAGTAGATCACCTTACTTCCTTGCCTGCCAGTCCCCAATAATCTATCTCTCCTAGTAACCCATCCATGGACGCTTCACTGGAGAGAGCAGAATCAGAGCCTCACCTGGACACTGTGCCCTATCCTGTACCATTGGGCCAGCCACCATGGCCACTGGCATGCTATCATGCACATCAAGCTTATGAGGTAATTCTGCCAGCGCACGCAGGCCAAAGTCACACTCAGTACTCTCATCAGGTAGCGATTTGCCCTATCAGTGCTCTAGTAACCAATCTGCCAGAGGTGCTCAACAGGTTGTTCTGTCCGGTCCCACAGTAGTATTACACCAGAAGCCTCCATCTTGACAGCCTTTGGTGTCAAAGTGAGCTTACCATCCAGATCCACATGGTCATCAGATAGCTATCTACCAGCCACCTCAAAAGCTTAAGCCAGTTGAGAGAAACGCTTGCAGTCGTGAAGCATTTGCTGCTCCTGTCAGCCAATATTTTCCAGCTCCTCAAAATGAGGGAGCCTGTTCCTCCCAGTTGGCATCCCTGGCCTCGACAGGTCTGCCAACACATCCATCGATTCGACCACAACCCCTTTCTTGACATCATAGAGAAACTATGACTCTTGACAGCGACACCTATCTAAACACGCAGTCCGTCAATACCAAGACATCA